GGGATTGACTTCACCACGAACCTCATACTATGGCAACTGTTCAAGCATGGGATTTTAACAATTATATATCATATGGAATTAAATTCAATAACATTCATTTAATTTAGATTTGAAGAAAGATGTTTCATGAATTTCAACTAACAATAACCTATCTTCGGTTGGCACGAGTTATCTACTTACCTATTTCAAACTAATGTTGTAGTATAACTTGACTTCCCTAGGCATAAACTATAAAAGCATTCATTCATAAAAAACATTTAAGCACCATTGCATGATCTCTATTCTTATTGTCCGAGAAGCCCTTAGCCGCTAATCTTGTACACTAGGAATAGGTCGAATATAATTTAAGAACAATTAAATCTAAGATAATGTATTAATCATTCAAAAACCATTTAATTCATTAAAACCCAATTGATCTAAGTTAATTGCTCATAATCATGTAATCAAGATACATAAGCAATTAAATTCCAAACGTTAGAACAATCAAACCATAGTACTCGGATTCGGGTTACATCAATGCCCTATGAGAGGATTTAGCTACTCATGACAACGTAAGATATCATCTGTGTTGTCGTGGTATTCATTATCATGGACTGCGACTGCATTTCTCTTATGAGGATCTTCACCTTCAATGCTTCAGAATAATTACCAAAAACCCTAAAAGCCACCACTACATCTAGAATAATGAAAACTAAAACGAAAGTGCTTTTATATGGCCTTGTGCATCCTTTTATAGAAGCAACTAACTTCTACTAAGGATTTGATAGACTTTAGGTCCTCTAGGGTTATCTGGGGCCGTCTGGGATGATATAGGACTTAATTAGAATTAATCCCACAACTTTAAATTCTGACTCAACAGCAAAGGCTCGAGTAGAGAAGCTTCTGCTCTAGTATTTTGGCATGTGCTCGAGCCTTTTAGGTTGTGCTCGAGCAGGAATTCCATACTTAGTCAAATTTCTTCAAATCTTTTCTGAAACGTCTTTTTAATCAACACTTAGAATATTTTTGGGATGATTCTTCATAGTGTTCGATCACTATGCTTGGGTACTCGAGCCTTGGGACCTCTGCTCGAGCTTTTTGGATTATACTCGAGCTTTTTGGTCTCTGCTCGAGGTCTGGCAACATGGAACTTCCGAAGCGTCTTTTCATATTCCGAGGCAATTTCTACTTGAGCCCTTTTGCAAAGGCTCGAGCATCTTGAATCTCTGCTTGAGCAGAAAGATTTCTACTCGAGCTTTTTGGCCTTAGTTGATTTCTTGCTTCTTTGTGCTCGAGCTATGGAACTTGTGCTCGAGGTATGGACTTAAACTTCTCTAAAATCACCATTTTTACTCCAATCTTGCTTCAAATGATCGGCAACGACTCTGTTAGCTTCGATATCAGTCTTTTCATCATAAAATCCCGGTTTTAACTATTTCTTTGGTTAACATAAATCAGTCTAAAACTATATAAAAGTACTACTTTAGGTCTTAACATATGCATTTTTAGGGGCTCGAATATGCAATATTCAGTGCTCATCAAGGCTCTTAAGGATGACGTATCCTTTTTATGTTTTGATTATAGAAGTGATGTATTGATTTAAATGATGCATTTGGGGAAGATATGTATACTTGTCTCTATTCTATGTTGTAGCTATTCTGGAATTTGTAATTTAGTTCATGTATATATTTGGGATGATGTAGTTTTATTACAATGTATGAGTATATATATGATTCTCGGAAGAAATGTAAATGTAAGGCCTTAAGGCCATTTTATCTTCAATGTTTGGAAATTGTTTTAAATGCACACTTAATGAATATTTCACACACTTTTGGGTCCACAAATGTCCTTGCCATGCGTAGACATCTAGTTTGGACATTTACTTATTTATATCTTAACATTGGGCATGTATGGGAGTAGCCGAAATCCATTCTGCAGATTTCTAGGCCAGGGTGTAGGTTTCAGAGGAGTTGCGATCAACGCTTGGGTTCCACATGTCAACCGGTATCTCCCGTTTCACTGTAGCACAGTGGACCTATTGTGACTTGGGAGTTTTTGGTCGACGTAAAGTGCCCTCACATTGACCGAGTTGGCCATTCCGGTCGATAAGTAGACCTTACATGTCGACCGAGTGCTAACACCTTCCCTTTTGTTTGTTGTTTCCTCCTTTGCTCACTTCTTGACTCTCTTTTTTTACCTAAGGTACCTAGGTACATAGTATATAGATGTATTCATGTTTTGAGACCTTGTTGGGGTCCTATTTGTTGATTAGACCATTTTACCCCTTTATCCTTTATTCTTGGAATGGTTTTCATCCGTTTATTCTTCGCTTCCGCATTCGTATTTAAGTTGAGTCTTGTGACCTCATTAGAGGATCTCTTGTTGTCCTAGAGGTGGAGTTCATCTTTAGTGACCTCTTCTTTTATTCTCGCTTCAACATTTCAAACTCGATATTAGGTCAGGTTTGGGTCTTTCAGTTGACATACTAGATTTTAAAGTTTAGGGTCGTTACAAGTGGTATCAGAGTGTCCTGGTTTAAAAACCATGGATGACGGATTGGGTTTATTTCATATTGCATTTTGACTTGGCATTTTGTATACTTATGTGTTTAAATGTTTAAAACGGTTTTGTTATATAACTTAACGTAACTTATGTTCTTGCCATATGGGGTTTATGTGTGCATTCATTTAGTGAGTTGCATGGGGTTATGAGCACTAAAAAGTGATTAATGACTTACATCTATATTATCATCCTTCTTAGTCCTCATTGTATCTTTGAGCTAATATTTACACTTTGACCCCAAACTTTAGTATAATTATATAATTGCCCCTAGACTTTATCATAATCATTGAATGACCTTAGTAAATGACTATTGTACCCTTTTTAATTCTTAAACCATTATTGACCATGCTAAAAAATTATTATGCCCTTATAGACCCTAGGACTATTATAATGACGTGAAATGACCATAGTACCGTTACGTGTCCTCGGATTCAGGTAAGGACCCGGTTAGTGATTCGGATACCCCGGAAACTAGGTCGTTACAATTCAGGCCTAGAGGAATAGGTTGTATGTCTACCGAAGGCAGGGGTGGTGGTGTATTGGCCTGCTGAATTGTTATTCGGAGCACTTCATTCTCCTGACATAGGAGGTTGATTTGTGCTACATTGGCTTTATTGGCTTGACGTAGGACATTGAATTGTTGTAGAAACTCTTCATACATCTTCTACATGATCTCCAACTACTGTGGTTGAACGATATCTACTCTAGTTTCTATCCCGGAATGATATCGCAAGTATTAAAGCTAAAAAATTATGAGAAACCTTTGTCGATTTCCACAGACGGAGCCAAAGTGTAGCTGCAAAAATTTGCTTGACCAATAAAAGTCAAAACAATTGCAACACACTCAAAGGAATTGAGAGTAATGAATACAATAAGTGCGAAATTTTGCTCATCCTTTATTATGAGGTCATTTGCCTCTATCTATAATAAATTACAAAGTAGAGTTAGGCTGATACTAGCATTGTTTGTCCGCTAAGTCCTTACCATATGGTATTTGTTTCTTATATAATTATTTATGTTTTACATAAATGAATCATAACCATGTTGCAATTCCTTCTCCAAGTAGGATTTGGGCTGCGAAAATGGGCTGGATCTCCAATGCAACGTTGAACCATAATTCAAGGTACATCATCCATATCCAGCTCCATCTTCCATTGGGCTTCGGTGTTGGGCATCATTTTTCGGGTCCATGACTCTTCCTTTGTTTGGCCCATATAGTGTATTTGAAAGTGGCCCCTACGTAACGACGTGTCATGCTTTTATTGGAGGGAGATTTTTCCCTCCAAAGTATGCAATTCTATTATTTTACAAATATTAACAATAACCAATACATGATAATAAAATACAATATCTAATTTTAAATCACAAATCTTAATAATACCCAATAAATCAATATAAAATAAGATATGCTAAAGCAAAAACGATCATATATACATCTATAATGTGATACATCATATATTTAATTAATCAAAAATATTAAATAATATATCTTATATGTAATAAAATATATAATGCATTATAATATTATAAATTAATTATAATTTAATATTTACATAATATATAACAGATATTGGTATATGATAATATAAATTAAATAAAAGTATTAGTATATAATAATATAAAATAAATAAAAATTACATAATAAATCATAAATATTATTGTCTCAAAAAATAATTTACAATATTATATAATATATTATATATTAAAACTACAATTTTTCATTAAATAAAATAATTTACATTATTATATAATATATTAAATATATTTCTTATTAATAATTAATATGTAGCATTAATATATAAGATGAATTAAAAAGAATTTTTTTTTGAAATGAATAATGTTCGTACAGTAATAATAGTGAAAACATTTTTGCACTACACTACTGAAAACGGTGGAAACACATTTTTTATGTTTCCGCCTTTTTTCAGAAAAATAAAAAATATTTTCAATTATAGAAAAACAAAAATATATTATTAAACATGATTTTTATTTTTATTTTACCTCTTTTTAAAAGTCGGCAACAGAAAACAAGACACATTATAGGGCAGCCTTAGACACATTATAGGGCAGCCTAATTCAACTACTTAGATGAATAGAGGTGCCATATTTATGTATACCTCATTCAGTAATCTGTATGTTTATTTTGCAAGCCACATTCTAGCCCTCACCAATTAGCAAAATATGGTTCTGTGTACTTCAATTTGGAGGAACAAACAAAAATAGAATAATAACCACAGGGAAGACAAATTTCATAACATAATTTGTAGATCTATTCTGAATACAATAAGTGCTTACTAAGAATGAACTTGTTCAACTTTATTTTATAATGAGAAGATGTAATGACAGTATTTTGATGAAGAAAATATAAAATGACATAAGAACTTTGTGTAACTTGCTTGCAGTATGACTATTTTAGGTCTCGAGGGAGATATCAAATATTTAACACACACGGAGAAACAGGAGCAATTATTTTGTATAATGATAAATGTCTGACAAATCTATAATCTTTATTTAAACAAAGATTAAAAAGAAAATTTTAGCATATTCATCCAAGAATTTTATTGATACATATAGCAAATAATACATGTTTACAGTTTTTCTTTCTCAACTTGCAGATCTAAGAAAGGATACGACCACTCTTTTGACGAAAAATGTCAGGGCTACGAGTGGATTTGATCATATCTAAAAGGAGAGGAAATTGTGAGTACGCAAATATAGTCACAGGGATACTGGAAAATGCAATAATAGGAAAAATAATCCATGTACTCTTATGTCCAAAAAGAAGTTGTAGTATGGCTCCAAAGGCGATCATCATGGATATTATGGAGATAAATAGGGTTACCAGACCAATAATTAACCTATTGGGCAAGGTGGAAAGGAAATCAATTTCTGCATAACGTGAAGTGAGAATGGATAAGAATTCCAACACAGAGGAAACAGATGAAAACAGAGCAAGCACATCTGAAATGATAAAGACTATGAACGCTTTATCTTGTAAGAAAATTGGAAGGCCGCTTATGTCATCATTTCCACCTGGTACTGTAATGGCAGCTGCAAACACTATAGTAGCAACAAGGGCTGCTATAATTGTGCATGATGTGGCGGTGTCTTTCATCCATTTCTCTCCTTCTTTGACCAACTCCTCGTGTGTCTCAGTAAATATTATTCTGGGCGTACTCCTTTTATCAGTGTTATAATCAAAATGATCAAATGAAGATTTTTCTACTTCCTGCATTAAATTGAATGAATTTGCATTAAGAAAGCATATTTGATAAATAAAAAAATATATATCTCTGAAAAGTCTAAGATATGGGTTGGTGAAAAAAGTATGAGAAAATTTTAATCTTGGAACAACAAAATTAGAGAAAGAAGAAAGGAAGAAATGAGGAACCCTGAAGAAAGGAAGGAAGGAGGATGCTTCCATTGTTTTGTTGGAGGAATAATAAAAGATAGGAAGAAAGTGGCCCACCTATTTCCATCCCTTAAAAAATGAATAGAACGGAGAGAGAGAAGAAATAGCTATTGCATAAAGATAATAATGTATTTACCCTTCAATTATCAACCAAATTACTTTGTTGAATTCTCATAAAGGGATGAAATGGTAAAAAAATATGTTCAATGCAATCTATTTACATCCCTCATGTTAAGTAAACCCTTCAAAAAAAAAAAAAAAAAATAGATGGGCACCATCTTTTTTTAGGGATGTCTCTTTCATCCTTCCTTTATTCTTTCCCTCCAATTTTCCATCCCTCCTACCAAATGAGGCATTGATTTCTCTATGATCCAGGAAGCACAAGCCACATGGATCGTACGAGTTTGGGTTGACAAGAAGTTTTAAATGTCTCCTTGGTAATTTATAGAGGAAATAGAAAATTCTAAAGGGGAGTTCGAAAATTCTTTGAGCATCTAGGGAACCATGAATTTAGAATGATAGCATATAAGGATCAAACACAAACTACATACATAGCCTCAGTAAATGCTAAGACATACTAAATGCAATTATTTGCTTCATTAACCTAAATACATGCAAGACATAGTAAACGTCATACTTAACATCAAACATGAACTTGTTTTTGTGTACTTGACGCATATCCATTATTTATTTATTCGTTAAAGGGAACAAAGTCAACACAACAAATAATCAAATGATTGACATCGTGGAATGAAATTATTATCATCAAAGTAAATAAAGTTCTCATATGGGTGGTTCCATCTCTCATTTTATTTTTCAATTGCACCAACACACTTTTATGTTGCAAGATTTAAGACACAGTTAATGAAATGGATCAAATCAATAGTAAATCCATGTAAATCCAAGTCTTGACTCATGTCATAATGTAAGATTCATATATTTGCTTCGAATTCGAGTAGGATCTTCTATATAATTTATATGTAACTCATATGATTAATGTATAATCCAAAGAAGTATTAACCCAATTAAAAATAAGTATGTTTTGGACCAGTTATTGGGTTAACATGATCTATTTTATACCATATTCATACCATATCCGAGACAAATCTTATAAATGAAATTAATATCTCAACCAAATGTAAACTAAATTTAAATTATAGTCCAAAATTGGTAAAACGAGTTGAATATCAGATTTCAAGCTCAAACTGGACACATCTTATGCCCTACAAATGAGAATAGGAGAGTGTATAGTTTTAATGAAATAAACTTCAGGAAGAGTATGAAAGTAAAAATAACATAAAAAATATGTATTATCTTGCAATTTTTCATAGTTGGAAAATAGAACCCATTACCTTGAACCACTGCAATTCGCGTTGCATTTGTAGAGCCGCACCAGCTGCACTAGCTCTAAGATGAAGTTTTTGCTCTTTTCCTAAATCTGCAACCAATTCTAAGCATCTGTTACTGTTTGAGTCTACAGTTGATAATATAATTTGTCTCACCTCCTCGTGAAATTGATAAATGAGGTTAAATACACTTTCGCAACGGTTTAAAATTGCAACATGGAATATATGTTGTCCCTTCTCATTTCTGCAATAGGCTAATTCTGGAAATACCTCCAAAATTTCTTCAATAACTTCAGGAATTCCGGAACTTGCTGCACTCATTAAAGATGATTTAATGATCTCTTTAGCTTTTGAGTAATTGGGTTTCAAAATGTTGCTGCAAAGATGTTTGACAAATTGACATGCTTGCAAGTGTTTCAATTTCATCTCTTGAATGGAATTCACTTGTGGCACTGCAATTCAAATGAAATTAAGGAATGATACTTTGAAGAGTGCTAAAAATTTTGGTATTGCATACTCCAAATTAAATTAGATATTTTACACATATCTTACCAAATATATATATATATTTTTTGATAAGTACACACATATCTTACCAAATATTAAAGTGACTTTCCATATGACATAAAGCAAATTTTGCTTCACTGCATAGACAACCAAAGTATATTTGTCAATGTCAAAGATATAGTGCGGTACCTTGGGACGAGCTATAATTTCTATCAAAATGTAACTAATATTAGAAAGAGTACAAATTCATGCTACTTATTTAATCTTTCACTGTCATTATTATCGTTGTGAGATTAATCACAATAAAACTAATGTTATACACCTATAGGAAGGAGAGCTTCTCTCTTAGGTTTCTAAAGAGAGATCGGCCCACGGTTATTATGGGAGAAGAAAATGCTAATTGCAAACTAGCGGTAAAAGGCCACATATGTATATGCGTGTCTTTGTATATTCATTTTTATGTGTCTTTGTGATTCACTCAAAAATATGTCTTTGTATATGCATTTTTATGTGTCTACATATGTATATGCATGTATAGAGGTGTATGTCTTTGTGTATATATGTGGATATGTCTACGGTTATATATATATATATGTGCATGTATAAATGTATGTCTAGTTGTTTTTGTATGTACAAATGTCTAGTTGTTTGTGTATGTACAAATGTGTTTATATGTACACATTTGTTTCTATATTTGTATATCTACATGTGTATATGTACATGTTTGTATATATATATATATATATATATATATATATATATATATGTTTATATATGTGTGTACGTACATTTGCAAATATATCTATGTCTGTGTGTATATTTGTAAATATATATGTATGTGCATTTATGTATGCAGATATTTATTTATGTGTTCATATGTGTATTATTTGTGTATGTATAAATGTGTTTGTATACATGTGTATATATATGCATATGCACATCTGTGTTTTTATATTTGTGTTATATGTTTTTATATTTGGTGTGTGTGTATGTATTTGTGTATTTATATGTGTAGGTTTGGTCTGTATATGTTTGAGTAGTATATTTATGTGTATATATGTATGCGTTGATAAATATGTGTATATAAATATTAATATATTTATACACATAGGTCTATATATTTTTATATACTCACATATATCACATATAAATATTTATTTATAAAAGAATATTTATAGGAAGGAAAGAATTGGAATTGGAATTCATTTATAGAGAAATTTCAAATTTGATCTAAATAGCGGATTAGAAATTGAAATCGTTGATTCCAATTCCATACAACTGGATTTACAATTCAATTATAATTTTGTGTAGATGAACACATTTGGGGTAAATTCTACAGTAGTATCTAAAAAGAAAAAATAGAGTTTGGAAATGAAGTCTTACCATCAACGAAAAACTAAACAAGATAAATGGGGAAAAAAAATTAAGAAACTTTGACAAACCTGAAAGGAAGCATTTATCAGCAGGATTCTCAATATCCCCTCCACCATGGTAGTATGTAGTCTCTTCTAACTTTGTGGGAACATCTACATGAGATAATATAAAGAATATTAAACTACTTTGTAAAAATAAAAATAAAAAATTGGAAAGAAACTAAAAGAGTTAAGAATAAATATTTAATTTTTTTTTATTTTTTATATATATATATATATATAAGTAAGAAAAATTGTAAGCAAATAATATTAACCTATTTTAGTTGGATTAAACTTGAAAAATTAGGGGTGGCAATTAGGTGGTTTTGAGCGGGTTTTGGGCTAATCATGAATGGGTGAGTCAATAGTGGGTCAATAACCCATTATCAACCCATTTATTATGGGTCATAAAAGGGTTGGGCGTTAAATGAGCTAATCAACACACACCCAACCTAATTACTCAAATATTTTTAGATACAAATTGTCAAATTATTTTAATTGTTGAATATATAAAAATATATATTTTTATATTAAATTTATTAATTTTTTGGTCTCACTAGTTGCAATTTTTTTTTTTCTTTTTTTTTTTTAAAAAAAAAAAATTTTGGGGTTAAAGTTACTGTACAACTTACTTTGAGAGTTATCACAGCCCAATAATTAAATAGAGGAGAGAGAAATGGAGAGAAGAGAGAGAAACAGTGGGAAGAGGGAATAGGAGGAGAGAGAAAAAAAGTGAGAAGAGATAGAATGGAAGAGTTATCACAGCAAAAAATAAAATTTTATTTTTTAAACAAGAAATTTTAACAATTTCTTTTTTCTGGAGGAAGAGAAGAGAGAGAACCAGGGGAAGCAAGAATAGGAGGAGGGAGAAAAAAGGGAGAAGAGATAGAAAAGGAGGAGAGATATAAAAAAAAAAAAAAAAATAGAGATAGATAAAAACAAATAATATTAATATTAATATTAAAAAAGAAATTTGTTTTTTCATTAATTTTTTTATTTCAAGCGTAACAAATTTTTTTTTCCTTTTTTATAACATAAAAAGAGAGAAAACAGAGGAAAGAGAAAAAGAGAGAGGAGACAGAAAAACAAGATTTTGTTCGAACGAGTTAAGATGGGTACCCACTCTTAACCCACCATTGACCTTTGACTTGAATCGGTACCCACTTTTTACCTATTGTTAACTCACTCACTTAAGTTTGGATACCCAAATGATTTAATTTTAGTGGGCGGGCTTGGGCGGTTTAATGAGTTAGGGCTTAAATTGCCACCCCTATAAACCTAGTTTTAGGTGAGGTACTAGTTAGTTGCTCATTTAGTTTAAAAAGTAGTAGCACTTTAGGCGCAAAAACCAAGAGTATATATTATTCTTAATTAGTTAGGTCTAGAAATTTTATAGGTAACTAGATTATGTAGGATTACATGTTTCTAGGTATGCAACTCTCCTTTTATTAGGTTTACAGGTAAGAAATATTAATTATAGACTTTAGGGCACGTGTCAATAGGGGGTGTGTGTCCCAGGGGAAGGGGGTTATGCTGATGGTTGAGACGTGGAGTTTGGATAGGTTTTGTACGTGTCCTAATTTTATTAGTGCAATAATCTTTCAAGCTAAGTGAGCTCAAGCACTGGTTTTGGGTAGGTGTCCCTTCGGTTGAGGTCATGTAATGTATCTCCCCTAGCACTAATAGTGATTTGGATAATGTTATGTACAGGCTCTATCACTAGAATATATGCTGAGTTGAGTTCTGAAATTCCTCCACATGACCTAGAGAATTGTGTACTCTCCTAGCCATAAGAAAAATGGGTAATAGTTGAATTAAGAGGTTCACCCGTGGCTTTTAGAGACAAGTATTCTCCTATTTGAGGAAATTATTGGTCATTATGTACAACCTTAGAGGGGGGTTCTAATGAGTGTTGAGTCTCAAAGTTAGCCATAGTAATTGGCATTTCAATTTTAGTTATGTGTTGAAGTTGCATATAGAGAGTGCATACAATCCAGTGGCAAGTTGATTATATGATGTTAAATTGATTGAGAGATTTGATGACACTTATATGTGTGGATACCTCCCAATTGTGTAGATGCATTTTGAGCAAAATCATAAGTACCAAGAGGAGAGTGTGTAAAGCGGATAATATCTACATGGTATCAAAGCCAATACCCAGCCGAAAATGGTTGGCATGCAAAAGCTCATGTGGATCAGGCCGCGAGGACATTGGAGCCCAAGAGGTGGTGATTGTGACGTCCCACATCGCGAGGGAGGGAGGGAGGGAGGGGGGGGGGGGGGGGGGGAGTTGCTAATGTAATGACCGGGTTCCTTTTTCCTTTTCTTTTCTTTTTTTTCTTTAACCCGATATTTTTCTATTTTTGAATATATTAATTTTTTATGCATGGGGACGGGTGCCATGAGGTTCCAGAAGTTCTTTGGGACATTTCCTCGGGTTTAGAATCCTTAGAAACCCATTTAGAGTCATTCCGGTCATTTTTGGTTTTTGGGCTCAGGAGGTCTCGGGTGGGTCCTAGGTTGGGTTTTTGTACTCGGCAAAATTTTTGAGTTTATTTCCATTCTCTTATTTTCTTATTAGTGTTTAATTGTGGCTAAATGTGTGTGTATGGCATTGTTGTGATTACATTTAGCTTTGGAGGACAAATTGGTATATTTAGTGGTCAAAGTGGGACCCACCATTTGATGACTAGTGTGTAAAGGGGTTGACTCATGTTTTTTGCCACAACTTTTTTCTTCTCTCTCTCCCTTACGAAATTCTCTCTCTTCCCCTCCTTTCTTCTTTCTTTTTCCACCAAGGAAACACACACTTGAAGCTTCAAAATCCTTAGCTTCCATAGGGTTTTGGCTCATGTTCTAGAAGGCAAAGTGATAGATCGCGCCAAGAGGAACAAGTCTATGGTCTTAGAATTCGGATTAGAGCACCTTTAGATTTCGGCTAGGTAAGGGCTTGAGTTTTTGGGGTGGTTTCAAGAGAAAGAGTTTTTGAGTTTTCCTCTCATTCCTCTTCATTTTGGTGGTCCTAGCCTTCGAATTGGTGGAGTTCAAGCTTAGAGCAAGCTAAGGTTTTTGTTCTCCATTGAGGTAGGGGTGTCTAACCCATATTTTCCTAAGTTCTGGTGAGTGATTTGTATGTTTTATGTGATAATACATGCTTAAGGGAGTGGATGACATGTTTGGTATGGGGGTTTGTTGTTAAATTGCTAAATTCCATGCTATCTTGTTGAATGCTTGTATGAACCTAGAGTTCTCAATTTGTTGGAAATGTTTTAATTATATTCTCCGATATTTAATGCATCCCATGTCTTCGATTAATTGCCTAAATACTTATGTGATGTGTTGGTCCCAAGATACCTATCTTGAGGTTTGCTCTTTTAATGTCAAATGCAAGTTAAAAGGTTCAAGGTTGTGCATTCTTGAAGTGATATCACATACGTATACATTACTATATATGCACGTTTCTTTCAATTCGGTAACCACTTTTGTAGTTGAAGCTTCCACTTGGAACGTTTCCATGGCGCCAAGTGTCCCATGTTCTAATAACTCCTTCTTCCATGCATGAATTAAACATCACTTGTATATTTATATATATATGTGTGTGTGTGTGTGTGTATACGTGTGAATATATACTTCCCCATTATTTTGCTCAATCACCCATGATTCCATTTTGAGAAACTTGCCATAATTTAACACAACAATGAACCTGGACATTCTTTCCATAACAATTGCATGAGTCTTTGGAACCATCCCACAAACTAGGAGAAATTGTAGGAACAAGTTGTTACCATCCTTAATGACTTGGTCAACCACCTTCCAAACTTAGATTATGGGCAAACCCAAAATTTATTACGTGGTAATTATATGCCATGTGGACTTTCGTGATAGACTCTTGTTCTTTCAGTGACATATGGCATTATCCAAGTGACTTCCTTTTTTATTTGTCACATGGAATCCCATGCAGGGTATCAAGGCTTTCCTCTCCAATTTTTAAGGAACCAATATGATAAGGCAAGTCTTATTTGAACTCTCCACGTGTTATTCTTTATTGGTTTTACACCATCTTTGGCCTCTGATTTAAAGGTCAAGTGCAAAAAACACCCCTATAGTATGCTTACAGTGCATATTGCACCCTTCCCGTGCAAAAAACACTCCTAAACTATGACATTTGTGCAAATAGGTCCTATATATATATTATAAAATGTGTTACTAAGGGCATTTTAGTCCAATTTTTATAAATAGGACCTATTTGCACAAATGTCATAGTTTAGGAGTGTTTTTTGCACGGGAAGGGTGCAATATGCACTGTAAGCATACTATAGGGGTTATATATATATATAATATTTTGTGAAATGACTAAAATATCCCTCAATTTATTATAAATTTACAAATTATATATATACAGATACATTTATATACACATACATACACAAACATATATATATATATATATATATACCTCTTCAGCTTGGACTACAAGCGTATTGAAGATTGACTTATCTAAAGGCACTAGCTTTCCTAAGGTCTGTTTTCTTTACTAAGAAAATTAAATAGAAAATGTGTTCGTGAAACGTGCCTCTACTTGCCTATTCTATCGTGATCTACAGATTTCATTGTGTCCTTATATAGGATTAAAGCGGCATTAATAGCAGGAACTGTAGCACGAGAGGCCACATGGGCCTTTCAAAGGTGCTAGCCGGATGAAGTCACCCCCATTTTCGGGGAGGAAGTGAGAGGTTGATGGACGCCAGGGAGTGGAGGAGATAAAGACGGAGGCGTCGCCTAGGAGGGAGATAAAGACAGAGGCGTCGCAAGCTCATGGCCGAACTAGTCCTCTCCACAGCCCATCGTCGGAATCGCTGTTCGCTGCCATTGCCACCACCCCCCGAGATTCCCCCTTGCTCGCCAGCCATTGTTCCAAGCTCACTGGCATCACGAACCCCCATCAGTTCCGTGCGAGCTTCTCCTTGCTTGCCGGTCTGTCACTGCCATGCCCGCCGTCAGTCAGCCAAGCTTGTCGCGGCCGTTCTGCCCTTCTGAGAACCACCTTGTTTGCCGGTCCACATCGTCAGATCCATCACCGCTGCGCCAGCCTATCCCAGCCGGATCCATCTCGCCAGTGCATTACCGCAGTTCTTCATCACGGCCGTTCAACCATCCTCGCCAGCCAATTTTGTCCCGCCGTCCATCTTTGCTACCACGTCTTTCTTCGTCCACGATTCAACCATGTCTTTCTTCTTCTTCCCCGACCACAAGCTCCAAAATGCCATCAACCTTGTGAATACATACCTCTCCGGCAGCCTCTTGCCCGACTGTCCGCAACCTCCACCTCTCCCTCTTTGACCTTGGCATTAACAAGATTGGTTTGGTAGGGGCATTTTTGGAAGAGTAAAAGGGTAAAATAGGCATTATATTAATTGAGGAGTGATTTCGCACAAATTGAAAAGAATAGGAGTGTTTTTTGCACACTTTTTAAATAGGGGGAAAAAGTGTTGTGAAAGGTATACTTCAGGGGTGTTTATTGCACTTTCCCTCTGATTTAATTTACATATTCCACATGTCAAAACCTGAATGGATTGAAGGTTTATGACTTGAATTACCAAGTAAGGTCACATGTATGGCAATATCCTATTGCAGCCCGCCCTTCCAAGCTTGTTGGAATTGTGATCTGGTGTGACAAGTTCCACTAGAACTCACCACCTGTCATCTTTCCATATGTCCAAATTATTGGTATCAACAAAGGGCATTTGAAAAATAAACGGGTGTGAGATTCAGCATCCAGACATACATAAAGAACCAATATTAGTAATTTGGAGATAGGCAAGACTAATGTTGTCTCTAGTTTGAAGTTTATGATTACATGCTAGCAAAGAAATGAAATAATGGCAAGGGATATGATTGGATAATAACCATACTGAGTGGGACCAAAAGATAGTTTGGGAGGCTGGAAGAAGGGAATGGTAAGTGTGTTTTGAAACTAAAAGAACCAAAGGGAGATAATGACCAGTAAACACTAGTTGTGAGTGATATAGAGGGATAGTTCTCGTCCATTGGGGTATGAATCAAGATGGGAACTGGGCATTTGGTTCTTCTCTTGCTTTCTGAGAAATGGAACTTACATGTTTGATAGCAAACTCATGGTCAGCTATCTTCTTTCTTGCCTGAGAAAGTTCTTCCATGGCACTTGTCGAAGTTCTAGCAAGGGCTGCTTCTACAATCTTTTGGGCTAGAGCTCGAGCCCTTGATCTTCAGTAGCTTCCCACTCTTCCTCATCCAGGATTTATTTCTGGGATAGTTTCAAGGTTCTGATCATTACCTTGAATGGGTCGAGGGTTAGCTGTAGGTGGTCTGCCACGAGGGGCAAGAAAATGTTTGGGGCAGAGTAAGGTTGAGTCGAAGTTAGTGTATCTTGAGGAATGGTGTTTCAGCTTGTGCTGGCCATGGTTGCTGGCAAGGTTTAGGTTCAGAAGGAAATTCATGGCAAGGAAAAGATTTTCTATAACTAATATGGTTTGGACTACATCCTTAATACACATAACTTGATCCACATATCTAGTCAACCTCTATACTTTTTGCAAAGAAGATCACCCATGGCCAACTAAGTAATTTTTGGTACTTTACTTTCTCTACCACTAAAACAAAAAAATTCCCAAACCAGTCACCAAATAAGAACCAATGGGATATGCGCGTCCAACCCCAACAAAGTTAAGAAAAATAATAGTACTGCAGAAAATAATAATAATAATAAAAAAAATAAGAAGAAGAAGAAGAAGAAGAAGAAGAAGAAGAAGAAGAAGAAGAACAGGAGAGAGAGTGGATTAAGATACTAACAAGAGTAAATTAAGTTTTGCCACCAGTTTAAGACTGCTCCACTTCTAAATGCAGAACTTCTCGAAGCAATTATTTTCAGCGGAGAAGGTTGCACCCATGCCAGCTCGGAGTTGCGCTGAATCAATGATAGAGCAATATCTGCAACATAGATTAGATATAATTAAGGTTTAATTAGAAAGAAATTGTTTTACTGCAACATTTTTGATATCATATTTGGTTCCTTTTTTCGGCAAGTGAAGTATATTAAAAGAAAAGGAGATTTTCATATATACAAAGGGCATAACCCCAGGGGCCTACAAGCATGGATAAAACAAAGGCAAAAACGGACCAAGAAAATAGGAGACAATCCCAAGAGAACACAAAAGCAAAAGGGTTGAAAAAAATATCCTCCAAACAACCCTAAAATTAGAGCATGTAGACCAGAAGCACGAGTAAAGAAACACAACCAGGCGCCAAGATACACACCATAATACCGACCACCAAGAAGAACAAAAGAGATGCAATAGCAAGGAAAGCATAGAAAGAACTAGCTCTCAAAGGATTAGAAAATATTGTTGTATGATAAATAAAAGAAATAATCAGCTAATTCCCAAAGCTTGGCAGTGTCAGCAGCCAAAGGCCACATGAGGTATCTAATTGAAGATAACCTGCATTGAACATAAATATAGATGGTTTGAACAATTCTGCAAGGATTGGAATAAGAATTGTTAAAAACTCTATCATTTCATTAGTGTTCAGATAAAAGTCAACCAAGGCAGCAAGAGCCAATTTAGAAACAAGAATTCAACCCAACTTCTTTTTATGTTTCCAAGTCGGAGATGCTCATATGAGGAATGACTGCCAATTCAGAGTATCAATATGAAATTCCCCTTTAAATTGGATGGAAACCCATGTAATGGAAGAGAGAAGTTGCATTGGAAAAAAAGGTGGTCATGAGATTCGGCATTGAAGTAACACAAAACACAAACATCCGGCTGGTTGCATGCAAGAATTGCAATGGATAGGTTACCCTTAGTTTTAAGGCTTTCCATGGTAGTATACCATAAGCAAAAAAAACGTTTAGTAATTGAAGGACTGAACCAGAACACAATATTAGAAGGTCCTGCAGGCAAAGAAGCAAAAGAATGAGAAAAAGAAAACTTCTCCTTTGAAGAAGGACACCAAACAACTTGATCTTTTTGAGATGAATAAGGAGGGGACATGAAGTCTAGAGACAGTAGAATAAATGGAAAGAGGCCTTGTTCATTGGTTGTCAGTGATAAAAGTGGAGACCTTAGCATGCCTTCATATGCCCAAACTACTAGTGGAACTGATTTGATTTGCAACAACATGGATGAGAATGCCACACAAAAGCCAATCATAAAATGGAATACGAGTATTTAAGCTATCTAGCTTTAATTTTGCAGAAAATACTACAGGTGATCAAAAGAGTTGTATATATCAATTAACTCATGCTGATTTCTTTCAAATTAATAGCATTTTCTACTAAAATTAAATATTAATTGCTTACCATATGGACCATCAACCATAAGAGCTTTAACAAGATTAGCACCAGCTTCACCCTCAAATGGTATGGGACAAATTTCTTCTTTGGTCACCTTCCATAAGTAACGAACCATCTTGCTTCGACTATGTAAAGCAGCTGCAAGGAGAGGTGACAGTTCATCATCGTCACAACAATGTGGCAGGTTGGGGTTCTTGTCCACTAAGAACTTGGCTGCCTTGATGTTCCCAGCAAATGCAGCATGATGTAGAGCTGTCCCGCCATAATTATTACGTACAGCCAGATCCTCTGCAGACATAGTCTCCAAGAGGTTCTTCACAAAATGGTTTCTCCGTGCAGATTTTACTGAAATCATGAGTGCTGTTCTATGGGTTCTGGTGACGAAGGCCCTCTTTGCCTCTGGGTTTTGTCTAATAAATTTTTTTGCTCTCTCCCAGTCACCTGTCAGTGCAGCATTGTGCAACGGCAAGTATGTGCTAATTGTATCTTCTTTTGTTTCTTCACCTGCCACGATTAATGTACATTTAGGTTAATAAATTTACCTTTACTTAACAAATATTATGAAATCGATGGACTCTCGAGCCTCTTCCTTTTATCGATCAGATGCTTGAGAGGTTAGCCGGTCATTCTTATTATTGTGTCCTTGATGTTTATTCCATTTATAGCCAAATTCCTATTGCACCCGAGGATCAAGAGAAGACTACCCATATGGTAGACTTTAAACAATTAATCAGAAAGTAGAAATATTTAAACCTTCCTCAGCAGGATTAATTCCTATTGCTGCTACTGCTAGCTAGCTAGATACTTATCAATACACCAGATAAACCTCTCCATTTTCAGTAGAGGAATTACCAAAATTTAAGCATGTTTGGAGCGCTTTCCACATGTCTTCTGCTGTTTTCACATGTTCTGGCAACAATGCAAGGACGTCTTCATCCGTTGTCTCTTTAATCCAGGTCTGCAAAAGCAGATCTGTTTTGTTCCAGGCGCTGTAATGCTGATTTTCTATCTTCTTTGTCCCACTGATAAAACTATCATCATCATCATCATCATCATCATCATTTGGTACTGTGATCCTTTCAGGTGGTGCTGAAACCTCACCGTTGATGAAACCAAGCAACCCTTGACTCTTAATTAGACGACGGATCAACCTTTTCCACCGGAGATAGTTATCTGTAGAGAGCTTGATGGAAACATAATCCCTTACTTTGATCGCTACTGGGTATGGGTACTCTGCAAAAGAGGGTGAGTTTGAGAAAATTAATTAAGCAGTTAATGATGAAAGGTTGAAGTAAGATAAATTAATTATGTAATAATATATTCACATTCATAAGTCCCCTTACCAATTTTTCTTTCATGCAGGTTTATTAACTTTGACCACATATCTTTAGAAGTTTTGAACCGCACCAATTCATGCGGAAAAACATCTTCATTGATGGTCCCTATAATCCATCGTTGCAACAAGGCATCCGATCTTTTCCAGTCCCAGTAATCCCTGTTTGCTATCTCCTTCATGCCATTGGTGGAGCTATCATCATCTTCATCTGGTACCATGATCCGTTTAGGTGGGGCTAAAACTTCACCATTGATGAAGCCAACCAGGCCTTGATTCGAAATAAGACGAAGCATCAGCGTTTTCCATGGGAAGTAGTTTCGATTAGAGAGGCTGATTGGAACAAATTCCCTCACATTAACCTCTATTGGGTATGGGTACTTGTGAGGAGAGGCAGTGTGTGATGACCCCATTGATTGGAAGTTGGAAGTCTGAGACAGTCCTGGAAAAGCTTTCACACATACAGTGTTGGCATGATCAAAGTCCTTGCACATCTCAACACTGTTTTATGTACTACATATTTTTAGCTATTAATGCTTGTCGACCTCTTCTAACAGCTTTATACATTTGACTAAGCAAGCAAAGAATTTGAGATCCTTACTGTTAAAGAAGGGCTGCTTTAAACTGTATTGTAATGTAATTGCTTAATTGTGAAGTGAGCAATGGATTTTGAGTGGGAAGTGTGGCCACAGTGGTTTCTTAAAGCTTCGTATGCTATTTTTTGAATGAGAGATCTATTGTGATTTGCTTCGGAACGGAGTGGGGGTGGGGGGAGAGCAGGCCCATTTGGTCATTTATTCAAACAGGTTGTGGGTTCTGAAATGGTGAGATGGGTATCCATTTATTGGTGTGCCAAATCATAACCACCATTTCCAATCTCTGCTTCGCTTCGATGGCCTAATATTTGGACTGAAAGCAATCGGAGAGTCATGCAAGGGAAATCACGTGTGGGCACCTCTGTTCTGAAGAGAACCCTTGATGAAAACCCTTGATCCAGTTAGATTAAAACTGATGTCATGCTCTTTCCATGACTCTACTATTGCCGGACATATCATGTGTATGGGGGAGTTACCTGAGTCTGTCATCTTACCGCTTCCGACGCCTGAACTAGGTGTAGGGAAGCTCACTGCTGCTGAAAGTCTCTGAATTTGCACAATTTGGTTGTTTACTAACGGTCATTAATTTGAAAACAATAAGGTGTCTTCCTTCGGTTGTGTGCTGTGCCTTTGGGTCACGTTTGTTACTTGTGACACTCCTTGTCTTCGGGCCATATCTCATTAATGCGCTTGTATAGTATATTTACATTTGAAACAAATCTATCATATTATTAATGGGTCAAGCCCAAGCCCAAATAAAACACCCATTTAATATGTTTACATGGCGTATCACACCTTTACATGGAGAAAATACCTCTAAAGATTTAATTTGTGCAAATGGGGCACTCCTGACACATTTAAGATAGAGTTTGCAAAATGATGAAAATAGACACAAAGCAAAATGAGGTCGATTAGCACATGAGGAACAATGTTATACGCTCTCTAAACAGCTATACGGGTATTTTTTGCACTTTATCCTAAAAATTATTATTGTTTTGAATTCAAGCGCCCATTTTTTACTATTAAAAGTATGATATATATATATATATATGAAAAAATATATGTAAAGTTTAAAAAATTAAATGTATATTTTTTCATATATATATATATATATATATATATATATATAATGAATAAATATCTTTTATTGAAATTTTAAATATATATTTAATAAAAAATGATAACTATATTAAATTTTAATTGGGAATAATTTTTTTATATATAATTATAAAAAGAACTGAGGTTTCTTTTCTCAAAATTCTTTGTTTTCGGGGATTTCTCCTCGCTTTCACTCCTTTCAGCTGATATACACTCCATTAATCTAATAACTCTCAGAACAAATATGTATATATATTTTTTGAAATAATTTTTTTTATTTTTATTTGATCAGTAAAAGAAATACATATATTATATTTAACTTATGAGCGACATTAAGTTTTAAGGAAATGTATAACTCTCAACTCAGAGAGAGAAAATGCAGTGTTATGGAAAATATATAGAGAAAATTTTAATTTAATTTAATTTTTTTGTTGTAAATGTGACAGAAAATCCTTAAAAGTGAGTTAAAAGTGCATATAACACCCCTATTTTATAATATTATTAGTACACATATCTCCTGGGACATTTTTAAAAGAGTAAAATGACAAAATGGGCATCAAAACATTACTTTATATCAGATTTCTATTTAAGAGATATTTCTGCACAATGTTAAAAAAATAAGAAGATTATTGACACATTTTTTAAAATAGAGGACGAAAGAGCTATGCTGACTATATAATACATTAAGAGTATTTTCTGTCCTTAATCCTATTATTAATCCATCAATAAAATTGACCAAACGAAGCTATGAATATTTAATAATAAATAAGATAACAATTTTGAATCTACAAATTATAAGAAAAGAGAACTCTAAAAATATTATTAATCAATGTATGTATCGATTTATATATCAGAGAAAACCTTAAAAACTCATTAGGAAAACCAGCCAAAAAGTTTAAAAGTTGACTATCTGAAAAGAAAAATAAAATAAAATAAAAAATTTAATCAATAAAAACCACTAAAATTTAATCACTAAAAATTGCTAAATAACAAAAATTTAAATGGTTGGACCCCATTTAGACGCTAAAATACATAACTTTATTGTGTAACGACCGCTAAATAAAGCAGGTGATTTTGTTTATTGGGTGGTTGTTTGTGGAGAATAAATTTTCATTAGTCAGAAGTTCAAAACCATCTAATGGTAATGCATTTAGTAACGTTTTCGTTTTCTATTTTTGTTGTCTTAAGAAAGCAGAAACATAATTTAACTTTCTTAAGTGAAAATAGAAAACAGAAATGATGTTTATTAACACTTATTGTTGTCATAAATTTAAAAACATAAAACAATAATTGTGTTTAGTAATACAACATATTTATTACAAAATATACATAATATTCTTTAAATTTTTTATTTTTTATTTTTTTCATGACAAGAATTTTAGGAGTTATTGATTAGAGGGGAGGGTAAATGACTTGAACACAAACTCTGTGACATAAGGAGCAACCCAACCACTCAGGCTGCTTTCATTAATATCAAAAAGTCATAAATTTAGAAAATCTAATTTAAAATTATAAATCTTAAAAATACCAATACATCATAAGTATAAAATTAGATATACCAAAACAAAAACATTCTTACCAATTATGTATATAAATACATGTATATGCATGATGCATACATTTATTATGTGATATATAATATATTTAGCACATGATAATTTATTATGAATAAAAAATATTAAATAATGTATCTTATATGTAATAAAATATATATTGTGTTCTAATATTGGAAATTAATTATAATTTAATATTTACATATAATATAATATAGATATGATATATAATAATATAAAATATTTACTGCTTAATAATTTAATAACATTATATTTTATATCAAAAATTATTTTGTCACAAAAAATAATTTACATTATTATTTAATATATTATATATTAAAATATATTTTTATCAAATAGAAAATAATATACAATATTTAATTTATTCTATATTAAAAATATATATTTTTATTAACAATTAATATGCAACTTAGTATATAACACAAATAATATTAATTTTATTTGAAATGAATAATGCATGTGCAGTAACATTAGTAAAAACGTTTTTGCGCTACATTGTCGAAAATATAAGAAATATCATTTTGGTGTTTTATCTTTTCTTCACAAAAATTAAAAACATTTTATGTTATAAAAAAACAAAAATATTTTAATAAATAAGATTTTTATTTTCATTTTATCTTTTTAAAAATTAATAATAAAAAATAAGAAACGGTTCTTCTTAAAACTGGGGATTTTGTTTATTGGATGGTTGTTTATGGAGAATAAATTTTCGTTAGTCAAAAGTTCAAAACCATCTAATTTAATTGCCCCCAATAAAAAAGTGGATAAAATTGTCTCACACCACGTGCAGATAGGGGCAACCACCAAGAAAACCTCCCATCATCAACATTACTTGGTACCAATTCCTTGACGCCCTGCTGGAACTAGTTCTAACTCTGCCCTCTTATACTGCTTTAGCCATTTCCTTTTTCTTTTTCTTTTTTTAATTAATTAATTTTTTTTTTAACAATACTGCTTTAGTCTTAAATTATCTATGTTCCTCTGTTATTTGTTTTAGGCCACAAATGTCTTGATTCAAATTATTATGAGTAAATTACACTGACATCTTCAAAGATTAGAGTAAATTACATACAAATAGAGTATTTAATCTTTTATTACTTTGTCATCTCCTGAAATTTAACGCTTGTGCTTAATGACGTATCTATCGTCATTTCTTTGAGTTAAAAGATCTCAATAATCTTATAATTTGACATGAAATGACAAAATATCATGTAACACCATTAAAATACAAAATATTAATTTTCATAACAATTTCATATTATTAAATTTTACAATAATAATATATATATATATTTTTAATGAAATTTGATTAGACTAGTTTCTTTTTAAGGTTTGATTAGGCTGGTATCTTTTTATTCCAAAAAATATATAAAATTAGGTAGGGTAATATAGTGTTTACAAGAGGAGGGGAGAAAAAAAGAAAAGAAAAAAGTAAGAGAGTCTTTTGATTTGTCAAATTTATTTTTACTAAATTATTATTAAATTAGATAAAGGTAGGAAAGATATTTCACACTTTTAAGGATGCCAAAATAATAAAAGTCAAACACTCTATCTATGCATAATTTGCTCAAATATGATAAAAAAAAGAGGTTGTGTAATATAACCAATTATTATTGTAATATATTGACTTACCTTACACCTAGGGCTGGCAACGGGGGCGGGCTTGGGCGGGTGTACCCTCCCCGCCCCTACAACCGTTTAAAAAACACACACCCATCCCCGTCCAAAACCGCAAAAATGAGGGGACTTTTCACCTATTCCTGTCCCCGTTTAACATTTTTAATCCACGGATAACCACCCCATCCAGTTTAAGACCAGAAATTCTCCTCTATTTAATTTTTTTATCAATTAAAATTATATAGTTATTGAAAAGATTTATATATAAAAAAAAAAAAATGGACAATAAATAGTTTAACATAAAATTCATCATTAAAAACATTCTAAATATTCATGCAAACTACTTGTTCTTGATTTTCAAATTTTGTTGTAAAACAAAGTGTCTCAATTACCTTTCTATATGGAGCGAATAAGGCTAATAATGCGCAAAATATATATATTAATGAAATAAGGTTATTTAAGTAATTTACCTATCTAAACAGAACGAGACAACCTTCCTGTCCCTGCACCGAACTCGTGCGAGTTTCATTACATCAAATTATCCTACTCAACCCCCAAAGTCATCAAAAACAAAATGGAGCGAGCATGAGTACCGACGGGACAAATTGCCATTCCTACTTACACCACCCCCAAATAGACTTTTTGTGGGTTGACTTTAGAAACTCAACCCACTAAAATACTTTATATCTGATTCTCATAGATAATGCATCCCAACCTCTCTCTTTTTCTTTTTTTCTTTTTTTTTTTTTTTTATTTGTTTTCCTCTAAACTTCAGAAGCCTTAAGACAAAAAAAAAAAAATTAAAAAAAAAATTGATGTCTTGGGTTTTGCCCCAATTAATTTACGGTATTCGTGCAAAGCATCTCCCTCGTATGGATAGTGTAAAACTTGAATCATGTTCACTAGTATAGCCCCTAAAAAAATTGTTTGCACCAAGAAAGAATGCACCTGATCCGTCATGAGGTAAACAAAATCTCAATTTTGACTTTTCTTTCTCATTATTTTTTCGTTCAAAACATATAGCATAGCATGTCAAGTGTGAGTTGTAAGATCATGTGATAGAGAGTGTTTCTGCATGAGAGAGACTGATGGAGAGAAGGTTTGAGAGAGATAGAGAGAGAGGGAGTCAGAGAGAGAGAAGATAACCTTGTGGAAAACCTTATCGGCGTTGGAAACCAGGTAGTTGGTGGCTGATATCTTGTCGTGCTTGAGAGAGATACATCTAGTGCTAGTGTGAGGTGTGGGATGTGAGAGAGAAAGGGATGCAAAGAAAATAATGGAGACGAGTGTTTTCTTATTGCTTATGGGTGAGTGATCTGTGAGAACGATATATATATATATATCTATAGGACTATACAAGAGAGCGAAAGCGAAGGGTTTGTTGTTGCGTCAATAAGTGAAAGCAATCTTCTCAGCTTGTGAGTCCACAAGGGCTTTAATAAAGGAGATTATTTTTAATTGTCCATTAGTGATTTAGTGACACCAACTTTTGAAAAAGAAAAAATAAAAACAAAACAAAAGTTGATATTACATGAGTGGAAAGGTGGAGAAGTCTTTGTTGTTCCTTCAATAATTTGGAGCTGAGTTCACGTACACCCGGCTTTAATAATGGAGATTTTTTTTTAATTGCATGTCCATTTGCATTTGTCAGGTTTTGATATGTAATTTGGTTGTCTTGCATTGTCCACTAACTAACGACTTTGAAGGACATTGACTGAATTGTTGATTGTGGAATTCTTGGACATGGTCTGTTATTAGATCAATGGATAGATCTAATTTAACTCTTTTAACAAGAT